GGTTGCATCACTGCTGTCGCTTTGATATCCAGGGTCCGAGATAGCATCGGCAGCAGTAGAGCGGCGATGCGACTGCAGAGAAGCCTCAATGGTCTTGTTCATAGCAGCTTGCTTGGCCTCCTCGCTGCTGTAGATCCACAGGTTTCCTTGCTCATCGAACCCGAAAAGAGCGCCGATGTCGTAGTTCCCGTCCAGCTCCTCAGAAAGGATCTGCCGGGCCAGGATTTCAGCACGGAGGATGTCCTCCTCGTTGCCCTTGAAACCGGTCATATCCAGCATCAGATCGCCAGAGTCAGTGACTTTTGTGGGAATGCTTGCAGCAGACAGTCCTTTAGACAACGTCCTGGCACGTTGAAGCGCCTCACCGGTGGAAAGGGGTGGAGGGCTGGCAGATCTCTCCGAAGTAAAGTGTTCCTCATCGTCGGTAGAGCTGTTGCCGTCTAGGCCTCGGCTCCGGGCGCTTGGTCGAAGGACATCGTCGCTGTGTGGCCGTGTCAACTTTGAAGACCAGTCTCCGGACATAGGGCGGGCGCTGGGCAATTCAGGGGAGGTCGAGAGAGGTGTGATCAAGCCTGCTCTAGTATTAGCCTGGTATTCTGTGAGCGGCGAGCGCAAACGCACCATTGTCATTCTCTTTCTTATAGAGAGCAGCAGGAGGCGGTCGTCGGGGCTTGGACTCGGAAGCGTCTAGCTCAAACGCCTCTGGCTCCTGCAGTCCAGCATCAGACTGTTCGGCATTGAGTGGCGGACTGCTTGCAGGACTAGAAGCAGGTGAAACAAGAGGTGATGTCTGCAATGACTGTGGGATCCTGTCTGTGGTCTCGAAAACGAAGAAGGCCTCGCCACCCTCGCCGAGCTTCATAGAATAACTTTGCTTGACACCATTGACCTTGAATTCGACCTTCTTATCCCAAGGCCGCAGGAGAGAAAACTTTCCAAACCGGACGTGGAACGGAGAGCAGACTAAAGAGCCATCCTCATGTTCGACGACAATGACATCAATAGCGCCGCTAAGAGTCGCGGGGTTGATTGAATTCCATGCTGTCGACACGGACTCGCTGAGACCTCGTACGTATTGCATCTTGCCTCTGACGACAGAGGACGTAGTATATTGTATGTCGCGATCTTGTCGATTTTGGTCGCAAGTTGGAGAAGTAGAGGCGGTTTGTCGCGGGGAGGTTGGACGACGATCCGTAGGGGCTCTATGAAGCTGACAGGGTTCTAAAGGAGAGGATGCGGCAGCAAGGAGCGAGAGCCCGTGACCCTATAGAAGTTTATCTGAATATAGGGAGCAAAAGTAGAATGCGCACTGCTAAGGTGGGAGGTATGTAGAAGAAATGTTAAAAGTTCTGTCTGGTATTAGAAAAGAAAACGGTATGGAATGCGGATTGTTGGGGGAGCAGTTCGATCGAGCCAGTGGATGGAGGTACCCAGTACCTACAAAAAGACACTGGCTCGTGGTTGAGCGGGCCTAGGTTCTTTTTTTCCTTCTTTTTACCCAGTCGCCCAGCCTTTTAGATCAGGTGAAGACGTCACTATAAAGTTGAAGAGTTGGAGACTCGGTAGCTTTAGAAAAGAAAAAAAAAAGTTATTTTGATGCAAAGAACGAAACAAATATGATGCTGATGCGACTCTAAGTGTTGCGAAGCAACATATAAAAAGCCTATGAGCTTCAAGTATAAAACAACTAATAATGACGAAGCCATTGTAACAGAAGAGAGCCCAGGTACACACGTTGAGGGGCGTTCCACCCAACATGGCCCGTTGTCGTACCTGGTACAAAGACACTACCCCAGCTCGCAGGGGTCTAGACGTCCGCCAGAATCATGATGGATGCCCCAGCAGAATCTATCACATGAACGGCTCATGCGGCCAAAGCTGCCGAGTTGAGACTTAATCATTCGGGTTTTCAGGTGGTTCCTGGCCTTATAAAATAGTCCTATAAATATGATTGATGGACTGACATTCTTATAGTAGAGCGCGTCATTCACCAAGAATTGACTTTGCTTGGATCATTGATCCCCTTGTTGGTTGCTGAGAATTGGACAACACTCTATAGGCTGCAGCGGTATGGGATATTTTTTGATGCACTTTGTTCAACAATTGATATGCATATGTAGACAGTACTGTCCCGTGCTTACCCATGCAGGTTATATTTATGCTTGGTACAAAGAGTCTGACTGCACATGACTGCCAGTCATTTATAGCTCGGCACTTTTGCTCCGTCAGGTTGGTCTTGGCTGTGGTCATCGTCTGCTAGGTTACCGACCTCGTTCTTGGTTAACTATCTCAATTGGAGAAAATATCGAACATTTTTCTGGTCCTTCTTTTCCGTTCTTCTATCATATGCTTTATACGGATAGTTACTCTTGACCGCTGCATCAGCCGAGGTAGTCGACAAGACCCATAGGACAGGGCTAGGATTATGGTTATTATTTTATATCCATCCCATGTACATGTAGACAAGGAGACGGAAATTAATTACATGTGTAGTTGTAAAAGTTTCAACCCATGTTGGCGAGCCCCGTAGGAACATAGCAGTCTACTGAGTAGCAAAAAAAAAAAAGGCCTCCTAAGTCTTAGGGTATAAAAATAAGTAGTCTAAGAACTATAGCCTGAGGAGCATAAAGTGACCTACTAATTTCGTCTCATATGCTTCCAGCGGTCAAGTTTTCTGATACCCTGATGGTAGTGTATAAGTAGGTTTGTCCGTGATCACAAAGGATATACAACAGTTGTTTACCCTGTCTAGACTATCAACCATACAGTGAGAGACATTGAGATAGCATACCAATCATACATCTCACTACCAGTTCGCATCGAATAAGACATGCACACCGTCCTGAACTCTTTTTATCATGCAGTAGCTCTAGATGTCAGTTACGCTGTTAGTCGTTCACTTTATGAGAGTCAGTGGAGATTAGCGAATCTACATGGACAAAGCAATTCCTACGTAGACACTCAATCCATTACTGTTGTAACAGTGTCTTTTGAGTCTTAACTCGCAATGACAATCCATAAGTATAGTTTCGTTCTTGTAGTTTTCTATTTACTTTATCTAAATAGCTATTTACCCAAGAACAGTGTGTATAATAGTTGATATCACTTTGCCCAGGCGATATTGATGTCATTGATCTATCAATATCTTCGCAACTAAAGCTACTAAGGAGTATTAAGGACAAATAGTCTGAAGTTTCTTGTATTCAAAGTAGCCAAAGGCTTGTAATTGCATGGTAAACGAGGAACGCAGAAACTAGTTGATGTCAACGTTGTGTAAAATACCGTGTAGACGGCTTCACATGCTTTCCATACAAGACACCCAGAGTTGACATCGGTCCGTTCCATTCGAGCAGGGATGACAACACCAAACTGAATAAGCCCTTTCGGAGGAATATTGATGCATTTCTGGAAAGCCCAAGCGCTAAACACTAACTTGGAAAGGGCCCTGGAAGCTGAAATTGAGGCGATCTGCGGCACTTGCTATTAATGCTGTCTAGTTGGTGGCTAACAGAAAAGTTGGACTCAAGCATTATTATTAAGGTAGAAAAATAAACAACCTGAAGCCCGGGTTTGAATGCCATAAATTGACCAACTAATTTCGTCTCTTATGCTTCCAGCGGTTAACCTTTCTAATATCCTGAGGGTTGTCAAAACTGATAGTTAGGAAGATGCAATTTCATAGCTGAGACATCATGTCGAAATAGTTGCAAATCTAGATTAGTACCTTACACTTTTATTAAATCACTCGCAGATAGATAGATATGTACCCAGTGCAACGGCCAATATGGATCCTGAACCGATCGCTTGTTCTACAAACCTCGCGTGTGTAGTGTATGTATTCAGTGACATCAGGGTACCAGAATAAGAGACTAAATTACCAGGCCACTTTATGCTACTTAGACTATACCTCTTGGGTTATTTATTTTTGTCGTCTAAAGCTCAAAGGTCAATTCTTCTGCTACCCACCAAAGTGATTCGTGTGGTAATCGCCTATCATGCATTTCGACGCCTTCACGCATTTATCTGCAAGATGCCCGAAACGGCAGGAACCCTAAATACGCCCTTGATGAAGTTGCCGCCCAGATGATAGGTAGTTACCTACGTAAAGAACCGTTGAAAAGCCAGCCATTGTGCCTCGTCCTAAGTGTAATTGTTCCATCGGAAGCATCATCAGTGACGTTTTTTGCTGTACCAACTCGCCAGCGCTAGTAGCGAGGCTTGATCGTAAATGCAACCTAACATTATTCGCGTAAACACAATTACTAGAAACTATAGAGTTTTGGCCAGGATTGCTTGTTGTCCAACCATATCAATCCGTCGTGCACGCGACGGGTTCATCATAGAAGCATTTGGAGGCATCTTAGAACCTCACATAGATCTATAGGTGATGAGAAAACTGAGGCGGGAGCAAACCGTTGCTGAATACAGTGTGTGCAAGATAGTGATAACTGTCGTGCTGTCCTAATCAGACGAATTGAGAAAGCAGCATGGAGTGAAATTGTTGAATGTGAACCTCCCAGACGACACGTAAAGTACGGTGTCTTCTCAACCAGCAACACTGTAATCTCCGCAGAGCATCCCTGTGGCTGAAAGTTTACACTTTGCAACCATTGGAAAACCAAGACGACTGCCGAAGCCTTGCTGTTTTTAGCCTGAGCATAGCTTACATAACTTGACCCAACTTGCATAATTCTTGCTGAACATTCCGTAACTCTACTATCGTAAGCACCAAAACGGAGTCGGCGAACAGCAGGACCTAATTATTCCAAAGCCGTGTTTATCAATAGTTTCAATCTTCAGGTTACGCTTATCAATCGACTTGAAGCTTGCGCCGGTCGGGCCATCTGTATGACTGAATGTCTTCAAGGTATCTTGTTATTCTTTTGTGGACCTGCTGCACATACCCGTTGGGCTAGGTATAGTCATTCTTGTCGTCTTCCTCACTTTCCTCAGACATGTTGCCATCGCTATCTCTATCACTATCGCTGTCGTACGCATTGTTAGGCATTGTGTGTGCAGTCCTTATTCTCCGAGAGTGCCTGGACAACAAGATTTCTCATCTCACCTGTCATTGGGATGTTTGAAAGGTCGGAGACACCGAACCATGACCCTTTAGAGTGTTCGGCCTGACGAACGCGGGATTCTGAGCCATCGCCTTCAATCGTGACAACATAGCTGAATTGTTGGGCGTAGCGATGAATGACTTCCTCATCCCCGGTCATCGGACTCTTTGCAGTCTTCGTCGCGGTGTAGCTGAGTGTAGCAGGAGGCGTTAGAATCCCAGAGACCACTAGGCCAGACTCTTCATTGACCTCTCGTGTTAGGGCAGCACGGAGATTTTCACCAGTGTTGAACTTGCCTCCAGGCATTTCGAACACGTTCGGGTAGTACTTCTCGTGCGAGTTACGCTTCAGAAGTAGAATTTGGGTGTCTCTTTGCGAGTCATGGCTATGGCGCAGAACTGCAGCACCGACTGTGATCTTGTGGACTGGTGGCCCAGCACATCGTTTTTGTACTTCGATGCCAGTTAGGTCGAGAAACTCTATTCCGGCTCGAGGTGTATTAGGGGCTATGACAGATCAATAGGCCGCATCACGCATCGCGTCTGCTCGACAGACTCACCGTATATCTCCTAAATCTGGGAATGCGTTGAGGACCGCGAGATGAAAAGGAAAGCCTGGGCTAAGATTGTGTCTAGAAGTTTAAAGAGTTCTACAGTTCAACTGTCGATACGTATGGAGGTTGATACTCCAACCTCTAATTCTTTACACCTATCAAAATAGTCCTTACTTCAACCATTTAGTGTCAAGGATTATCGCACGTTCCCTGACTTCATGCTAGGTATATTAGGGCACCTTAGGTGAAGATTAAGAGGTATGAAAGGTTGAGACGTTAAAGCTAGAGAAATACTAGACTTCCCAGGAAGTCACGACTGCGAAAGAAGTCGTAGGGGAGTTGTTAGTGCTAATTGGTACGGTACGATCCGCCACGCTTTAGTACACCGTTTCGCTACGTCTTTTATGCACACCGTGCATAAATGGTGCTCTGCCTCAGGTGACCTTTGACTGTGTCGAGCCTGAACACGGCAGCGAGAGCGCTAACCGGATTAGTTCAATACAACCTGACATGGTTACATGGCAAAAACTACCACCTACTGTCGACATTGGCATCTGCCTCGAGGATCCATTCCCACACGACAACTTGGACTTGGAACTGGAACTAGATCTAGATTTGGACTCTTCTTGGACGCTTGGCTCGGTCTTCAACATCTTCAAGACTGAGATCGCGCTGAGCTGAGAACATGTCATGGGAGTTGCCCGTCTTGACTACTCTCATCCTCAGCGTACTTGGCTTCTGGTGGATTTATAGCCCTCGCGCCAGCTACCAGAAGGCCCTGCTTTACGCTTTCCTCTGCAGCCTTACCGTCCTCATCGATACTCGTCGCCTGCTCGAATACTTCTCTCCGGCCACGATCGAAGCATTGCTTGATTTCCGCATCCATGTTCTTCTGATTCATCACTTCAAGATGGTCTTGACACTTGGTGCTGTCGTTTGGTGAGTTTGCCCCTCTTGTCAAAATTCGACAACATGAGCCGTCTTTTTGCATTGTGCTGACCAGTTGCCCCCCTTTCTTTCAGGCTACTGCATCGCTCGTGGCAGACATTATGGAAACCTGTTCCCGATCTAATTAACATCCTCGGCGTCGACGTGCCCGAACCTCCTGATGTTTCTCTCGCTGGCATTCGATCCGATGCTGCTACTCTGAGCTGGACTCGTCCAGCCAGTAATCGACCAGTACAAAAGTACACTATTCAAGTCAATGGCGTTCATGGTTCGTCTTACTGTCAAGATATACATCCAACCCACGAATGGGGTGAAATGGCACCTGACTAATACAATTGGCATATAGTTGGTGATTCACCTGGAAATGAAGTCGCAATAACTGTTACTGGTCTCAAGCCAGATCATTTTTACAATATAAGGGTTGTTGCTGTCGGTCCGAATAATTTTCAGGCCGGAAGTAAGGTCCTACGCCTCCGCACTTTTGGAAAAGATGGCAGACCTCAGTTGGGTAACTCGCGCTTGCCTACCAGCTTTGCGAACAATGACCACCCTCACCCCAAGAATGGGGACGAAGATGACGATTCGGATTCGCAAAAGAAGCCTCCCGTTCCAACGGTCGAAGCGGCCCCAGTCCTTGATGGCAACAACGCGTCTACGTCTGATGTCACCGCCGCCGTTCCAAGCCAGCGACGAAACACGGTCAACCGACGACACTCACCATCCGTTGCTAGCATGGATCAACCTCAGATCAAACTTCCACCCGTGGATGGCCCGGAACTGTCACTTGACGAACTGAACCGCCGATTCGAGTCGACTAGGAAGGAAGTCGACGAAATCCTTGCCCAGTATGCAAAGGAGGAAGCCGAACTTCAGCAGCAGGAAGAAGAGCTCAAACAGGAGAAGGAAGCCAAAAGACAGGCTTTGAAGGAGAAAGAGGAGCAGACTGCGCAGCTGAAGGCCAACGTTCGTACGACCATGGAGCAGATGCGCGCGGCAGAGAAGGAGCGAGCGAAGAAGGAGCAGCAGCTAAAGGACAAGGAAAATAAGAAATCCAAAGTCCGAGATACTGCTACCAAGCTCGAGAACGACATAGAGAGGATGAAGAAGGAGCGCGAAGGTTTTGAGGCTCAGAAGAAGGAGTTGGCAGAAAAGAGAGATCAGGATGGCCAAGACCTTGACGATTCCAATGCGGAACTACAGGAAAATTGCGCGGAACTGGAAGCTGAGCTTAAAGAAAAGGGAAAGCAACTCCAGGATCTGAAGGCTACCCGAGAAGAACTCCCTGGTGCCGACGATGAGCAGTGGAAGGAGAACGATATCATCGTACGAAAAGAGTGGGATGCGAGGAGAAAAGAGTTGCACAACCAGCTGGTTGCAGAGACGAAGAAGCAACATAATCTGGACCAGCAGATTAGGTATCTTAGGGAGGAACTGCAACATATGGGGCTCTATTACAACAACCAGCCAGACCCTACTGCTTTGGAGTTCGAGCCCTCGGCAGCTCCTCAGGACCCCAGAGATAGTGGAAACTTCGACTCGCTTTCTCACCTCAACTCGCCACCGCACAACCAGTTCGCACCACCCGACGACTCATTTTCTGGCTTCAGTCGCGCAGGATTCGGTCAAATATTGTTTATGGACCACAATGCGGCTGACAATGCCGACGATCATCAGTCAGAAGCCGACTTCAGGGCTAATGCCGGACCTCTCAGCCCTACTGCCCATTCTCTTATCCCTTCAGGTATCTTTGACGAGACATTTGAGGATGCTGCCGAGCATCTGCCAAACCAATATTTGCCAGAATCTGTTACAGCTGCAGAAGAGGACAATCCGCAATCGCCGCTGTCATCGGATGGACGCTCCCTGAACATGTTCTCCAGCCCTCACGGCTCATCTCACAACTTGCCCTTTCCCCAGTACAATGACATGGACTCTCAATCGCTCAACATCAACTCATCTCCCCAGCAACCGCCTCTCCCATCAAGTCACAGACTTTCTAGTTTGCTGTCTAACTTTCAACGCAGTAGAGGGCCAAAACCAGCAGATGTCGAAGGACCCGCGATTGGCAGTCTCAAGGCGGGCCAGAGCCAATCATTCCCACGAAGCACTGATGATCATGACATGTCCGGCAACAAGCGCAGAATAAGTTTTTCATGGATGAACAGGAATTCGGGAGCAGAACCCAGCAGGTCGAGCATGGGCCCTACATCTAGGCCGTTCTCTGCCCGAAGGCTCAACCCATTTGCCAGCAGCGCCGGAGCCCTCACGGGAGACAACGAATCCCCAGACTCACGGCCTGCGTCGATCGCATCTACCGATCTCCATCGACCTTCGACCGACAGTGGCTCTATCTGGAACATTCCTGGTGATTTCTCCATGCTAGCCAAGAACCGAGTTTGGTCGCCAAATGAGGGACGTTGGCCTTCGAGGAATCCATCTCGCCGACCTTCACTTGGTGCAGCCCCGACCGCACTCGAAACGACACTTGCAACAGCCAACGATGAAATCCTTGACGACGACGACTTGCTCAATCCTCAAACGTCACCTAGCCAGGTGGGTGTCATCGGATCGCGTCCCCCAAGTCACCGAGCATCAATGAGCCGAAATCTCAATCCAGCGGCTCCCACTTTTAGGACACCTTCTTTCTTCAGCCGCAGAGATAGAGATGCGAGTCCAGATAGGAGTTCCAAGAACAGAGAGAAGCATGGTAAATCCAAGGAAGGTCGCACGAAGGGCATGGAGGCTTTGACCCCCACCATTGAAGTGCCGCCGAATCCTGATGATTCACCAACAAGCCCACGGATGTCTCGTGACGCATATTCTGTTCACACGCAAAACTCAGTGTCAGAGTCACATGAGTCTCTGGATTTGGGCATGACAGCCTCAAACTCAACGACGGATAACAATACTGCGAGCCACAAGGATGCCGATAGCAGTGTGGTGAAGAAGCTGTTCAGAAAGGGAAGCTCAAGCAAGTTTAGCACGCTGTCTTCCAGACTGAGTAAGGATTCTGTCCTGTTTAAGAAGGGCCCTGGTAGTAGCACATTTTCTGAAAAGAATATGTCGGCAGAGCACCGCTCAAGCATTGGTGATGCCGACGATCTTGAGGAAGATATGGCTCAGCTTGGCCGCAGCTACGACAGCATGGCTAGCAGCCCGTCGATAGGCCAAGGCAGTTTTCGATCTAAGGATGCACCTAAGGAGGGCCGCATGGGAGCATGGCGATTCTCAATGAAAAAGAAGAACAAAGAGCCTGTCGCGAAAGAGAAGGAAAACATGGAAAATGACGGGCTCGCAGATGAGTAGAGAGGCATGGACAGCATTCACATGCCGCGTACAGTAGCGAAGCGTAGCATAGCAAAGCAAAAGATCATGTGTTGGGATTGTTGGTATATAGCAAGATCATAGCATGATTATTCACAGAACTGATAATCACATCTCAATCGTTGCACTTTTTGAATACATTTAACTTTACATGTTCTATGGTGACTTTAGTGGTATTAGATGGAAGGCTTAGGGGGAAGTTCAGCCACGTAGTGACATTCCCAGCTTATCCTGGGTGACCCGCTTTTGGCCATCATGGCACTTGACACGTGCAAGGAGCTTCCTCATGCTCATACTCATGCTCATGCTGACTGCAAGCAACAACGTTTGATCATCTTCGGAGTATTGCAAATAGTCAATGGCTGAGTCACTGTTATAATGAATGGCAACTATCAAGAACCTTCAGCCCTAGATGCTGGTGAGTTGGTGGTGAAGCTCGATTACTTTGTTCCTCGGCGGCTAACCCTCCTTGACAGTCGACTACAATCCGATCGACCACCTCAACCTCCTGTTTTCACACCCCTCGACGATATCATCTATAAGTGAGGTGTCAAAGTCTCTACAGAACCACCAAAATGCGCTTTCGAACGACATAGTCACTCTCGAAACCACCCAAGCCTATGGCTCCGACTCAAGCCTGGAGCGCATGCAGTCAGCGCAAGCTGAGCTTGCCCAGCTATTCCGAAAGATCGAGACGGTGCGCTCGCGTGCGATTGAGACTGAACAGAACATCACGTCGATGACGGCTGACATCAAGCGGCTCGATGGAACGAAACGCAACCTCACGTTGAGCATGACTGCTCTCAAGCGGCTGCAGATGCTAACCACAGCTTATGAGCAGCTCAGGGGCTTGGCCAAGACGCGCCAGTATAGGGAATGCGCAGGCCTTTTGCAGGCCGTTCTGCAGCTCA